GGAAAATATCTGTACACACAATAAGCATAAGTCATGGTGATGAAAATCACAGCACTGAATACTTAAAATTGTGGTCAGTTTTAATTACTGGTTGGATATGCTTTTAAAAACATAAACATCTTACACTATTTCATCCAATCACAGCTGTCACATGTCTTTATCTCTTCATTTGTTTACATACGCATCTCGCTCAGTGAGCAAGCGATTCTCATTTAGTGTAGTATAACCTGTAGGAAAATTTAGAAACATTTGCCCTAGGCAAATCTGTGACTTATGTACTGTATATACATGCAACTTCTCAGAAAAATATAAAACTGCATGAAGCTTCAATACTTTTCCTGTCCAACATATCTATATGGCACAAGAATATATGGATTTGCTGCACTGACAGAGCTGTAAGAGTTATATCATGTCTATTTCACCAAAGCTATACAAAATGCACTTCTGCATTAATAGAGAAAGTTTTTAAATCATACATATACCATGGGTTTACTCTTATTTCACAAAAAGGGGCCATGGGTTAATTCCATGCATGACTGGGACTGCCTTGATCATATCAATCCAAACTATATTTTGAACGACAAAATCATTGAATTCAGGCCAGAAATTGGACAGGTTTAACATTAAGCAGCTTTAACAGCCTGACATATGTAAGGCTGGATGATGAACTTTGCCAGAATGTAATAAGTGAGGGGTTGGATTATGCCTAGCAGTCTGAAACACTGACCACAGTACCCTGCCGCCTGTTAGTCGATCAAGGCAAATGACCCTTTCAACAGATGAAATCACTTTTAGACCACAGCATGATAAGAACTTACACTTGAATCTATTGATTCATCAAGCTAAGACTTTGAAATACTTCCAGAAATTCAAAACTATTGACTGTGTATTGTTTTGAGGCTGTTACACTTGCCAACTTCATGTATAAGCCAGTTTAGAGGGAACAAAGTGAAAAAATCCACATAACTTTGGAAATTTATTGGTTACCCTGCCCTAAACTGAATATTTTTAATTACAATTAACAGTATTTGACAATATCAGCTAAAAACAGAGCTTCTCTGCAGTAATTTATGGGTTACTGGGTTAGAGAAAGACACAATGTATTTGGGTAAACAGGGGAGATAATTTTAAGATATCGAACACTCTCATGTCAATAAAATGTGAATTCAGACCCATAATATTACATTCCACAAGGGTCAGTTGTTATTATTTACATCTAAGCAGCTTCTGGGATTGATGTACAGCCCTTATTTCATGTCTGGGAAGCTGAAATACTACACACTGAGGCATTAAGGGGACACTGTCAGAAATTTCTAATGTATGAGGATGACCGAGTGATGGAATTTGGTAGTGAGACATTTTGGTGCCTTAACTGGACTGGGACACTTAAATGTACTATATGTACCTACATGTCCAAGTACTGCAACTTCTACAAGGCGGTGAAGCATATCGAAGCAAAGGGAGTATGCTTGATTAGACACTACCAACAACAGACTTCGGCCGGCATGTCGAAATACCACATTGGATGTGAAGGCTTCTTTTTCTGCTGTATTTGTGAAGATACACCTCCCCATTCACCAACAGGCATTCTACAAGCTGAAAATAGTGTTGAGATTACATTAAATGTCAAATCATAAAATCTATAACAGCAATGAGACAGTTGTTAATAAAACAGAAATTCATTTTGAAAGTCCTATGGGTGAAAAAGGGGTATATTTTTAAAAAGGAAAAGAAAATTAGGTCGTTGCATATTCAAAAGGGACAGGCAGAAAGAATTGATCATATGCTACACTGTTTGCATTTAAAACAAGGGTTTGTGACATGTTCTGCTGTCAGCAGTGAACAAATTTCATGATATTCTTATCATTTGACTTCAAATTGACCCTCAGGAGATTAACTTAGACACTCACATTGTTGTGGCAGTGGTGATTTTAACCTAATTTGTTGTCAAATTCATCAGTTCCAACAAATTTAGAAGCCAGGGAACCACTACTTGATGGTAAGACTCACCGTGAGGGTCTTTTCCCACTGTTCGACCACAAAACGAAGCAACGTTCATATTCTGGACACTAAAACAATCTATTCCACTCAAAACAGCCCTATCTTTACTCCCAGTACCTTTAAATTTGCCTCTACATTAATGCTAACATGTTTCCATGGTGAAATAAACACAGGAAATCATGTAAAGTATGAATTACTGAAAAGTGCTCGAACCCTACAGGTTACACAACACCAAATGTTTTCCCATAGACTTCTATAGTAGCCTTATATTTTTTTTTAAAATAATCCAGGCTATCAACAGCCATTCCATGTGCACATGGGTACACTCTGGCCTTTAAACTACCATAAAAACACACTATCTGGCCAACTTGTCCGGCTCGTTTTGCGAGCACAGGAAGCGGAACACATCAACCCCAGATCCGCACCAAATGTCACCTACTGGAAAATATCTGTACACACAATAAGCATAAGTCATGGTGATGAAAATCACAGCACTGAATACTTAAAATTGTGGTCAGTTTTAATTACTGGTTGGATATGCTTTTAAAAAACATAAACATCTTACACTATTTCATCCAATCACAGCTGTCACATGTCTTTATCTCTTCATTTGTTTACATACGCATCTCGCTCAGTGAGCAAGCGATTCTCATTTAGTGTAGTATAACCTCACCGTGAAATTGCTATAATATTGCTAAATGCGGCGTAAAACTAAACTCACTCACTCAAGTAAGGTGATACAACGTAACATTGTCTTGTGCAGGATGTTAATAAGCGGTATTGATATTTGGGCTTAATGTATAACCTCCTAACTAGCAGGACACAACCACTTGTCGCTACTGATTAAACCCGGAAGTATTGAGGCCGAACAAGGGAAATGGCCTTGAGAGACGACCAGGCGTTATTGACGGGTTTACGACGTACATGATAGGAAAGTATGAACATGGAAGGTTTTTAAATCACGCCACGATATTCATTTTGATTTGCCTGGTACTCCTCACGAAGGATATTTCAACTGTAATGTTTTTTTATGGTAACATAAGTAGGTAACAGTCGAAGTGACATAAGTGCTCTGATGCATACAATGATATTTACACAAGGTAAGTGAATGAGTTCAGTTTGTACTCAGCTGATAGCAATGTACCCGCAATAGATGACGTAGACACCTGTGCAGGGGGCGCTGGTTTCGGAATTCGACCTCGGCATTGTGTTACTTATAGCTTTCAAAAGCATCGAGGTGACAAGTCACCAGGGTCCCCATCCACAAGCATTCGTAATTTTACGACCTATCGTAACTCTAGAGTTTACCATAGGCTTACGAACGTCATAGCTCTACGAACACAAGGAGCCATATACTGATCTTCGTGATGATTTACCAAATATTTGAATAAAAACTTATAACATAACAGGCTTCAGAGAAAAATTTACACGCAGCCCAGACGTTTTATGTGTTCACATTGTAGAAAATCACTTGTATTATAACACATTAGACGAATAAAATATATTTAATACTTACATGTTTGTATGCGATGCTTCAACAGTGTGCTGTCCCTGGAGTGGAGTTTGTTCTCAGCTGACACTTCTCTCGAGATGACTCACGTCCGGGTAGTATACCTATATGTCCTGTTTCTACCCAGATACAGGGAGGTAATACACCACGCTGTGGTAGCTTTTCAACCGGTATGAACTCGTGTCTGTAAAATATTCTCGTTTACGAGTTTTTTGGACATTACCTCATCATTTCTGGTTTGATATTTCAGGGGTTATAGATTTCCAGATTTAACTAGACAAATAAAACGTTTCAGCGACAAGACCATGGCTTGTGTGTTCGTTAGGGTTGCCTCACAAGGTAACTGATGGGTTGAGTTGAGCATTACGCCGCATCACCGTTATCTCAGCCATATAGCGACGATACCAAGTCTGCATACATGGACATTTTAAGTGCAAACATAACACAAAATTTAAAAACAAGCAATCCGCCATTCACATTACATTATTACAATTTATAATACAGGTCAAGTTCCCTCAAGTAGTTAACAATGAGATGTCCGCTCACACGGGAAAACAGATCTTTCAGATTTGTCGCATCATAATGTGAATCACTTGCATTTGAAAAGTCCACACAGTCAAGCGGAATATGATTGCTGATAAACACTGCATCGCAAGAGACACATATGGAAGGCCCATCCCATCCGTTTTCAGCAGATAGTCATGAGTAAACCGACTGTGGCCAGTACGAGATCATCGTACCTGATAAAGGGGGCACACAGAACTGTGACTGGTTGACTGGGTGAATGAGTTTGGTTTTATGGCGCTTTGAACAGAGTTTTGGTTATTAACCCAACAAGAAGAAAGGAAACAAAATCATGAAACAATGACAGACCAAATAATGAATGTCATTCGCTGAATTGGTCCAAACATATCGCCAACGAAACAGTCGACTAAACGCAGCTAGAGAAAAACGCAGTTCACGAATAAGATTATTCGATAAACGCACTATTCATTTGCTGCTCCTAAAGTATGTTGAGGCCGGCGTTTTGCAGGTAATCCAAGCAATATGTCACCGCTCCCCACTCAGCTGAAATGTGTTGAACACTTTCATATTTTTAATCATATTTTAGTTATTTATCCGATATTTATGGATAATCGAATAACATTCATTTAAAGATTATCGATCTCTGTGATCTATACTGATAATCAGTCCTAGTTATTATACACAGTGGTTATCATGTGTGAAGTCAAACTGTCACACTGACTTGGTTGACACATGTCATCGGTTCCCAATTGCGCAGATCGATGCTCATGCTGTTGATCACTGGATTGTCTGGTCCAGACTCGATTATTTAAAGACCGCCGCCACATATCTGGATTATTGCTGTGTGTGGCGTAAAACTAAACTCACTAACCTACTCACTTAAATATGTCGAGCTTGTAAGAAATTGACCAATTAAGCAGATTGTTAGTCGTTCATCTACCTTTAAAAGCAGGACAGGCAAGCAATGAGGAGCCGGCAGACAGCGGGAAGAGCGCGGGCAGACCGGCAGAAGGCAAGCCATGGACAAGGAGGGACAAACACTCAGCAGCCAATCCATCCCCGTCTGCTGCCCCAGGGTAAGTCTGACCTCGGCGCCTTTTCCTGGTAGTCTCTGTTGGATTTTGTGAAGGCTCGAATATTAAAATATACTGGACAAAATAAGTTAGGGATATTGGTACTTTTATGTCTGATATTTTATCAGTGTGTCAATAAATAAATAGATAATTATTCATAATTTCAAAATGTACATATATCCCTAACTACTTTTGTCCAGTATAGTTAATATAACTCGAGACAGACAATCTGCCATTCCCGTCACTCGTTAGTTAGTCTAATCATCACTGTTTGATAGTCGTAATTAATCACTATCATCATATCTCATAGGGTCAATCACCCGATTGTTTGAAGACCGCGTCGTGCAACTGAATGCGTCGTTTGAAAACCCATTCTCATGGTAAAGTCAGAATTGTACAATCGACTTGCGAAAGTGGAAATATTTGTTGGTTTCACACTGAGTACGTTTACAGTCTGAATCAACACTTAGCAACTCGCATCATGCGCGTGGCTATTGGGTTCGCCCTACTCCTGGCGGCCATTATAAGTTGTTCACTGGTCGCGAGGGCGAGGGGAACATAAACAAACATCGAGGGTACATCAACCCATGGGCCCCGAGGGACCAGTGAACAACGTATTTTTCTTACCGAACACCTTAATGTTAATTTTGAATTGTTTGAAGCACGGGTACAAATCTTTTTGTAGCCATCGCTAGATTTTGCTGACAAGAAAAACAGATTTAGAGTTATCTCCCTTCCATCGATTTGCATTCGCAAAACATCGGTAATTTCCGTACAGCATTACGTGATTCAATGTAATTCGAGATATAGAAATACTACCACGAAGTACCAAATGAGTTGCCATTGACAGCGGGGTACATTGAAATGTTACTCGCTTGTAAGCGGGGTACATTGAAAGTAATAGAAGAGCGCTCAGCCAATCAGAAAGCAACATTTATGTGTGAGGTAAGATAACTTGTATTGTATATTACTTTGTAGTCTATACAAGTTTACCCTTGATTAATCGGGTTACCAATTGTAATGTCCATCAGAAAAAGGGTAGCATTGGCATTGTCTCGGGTCGCTCCAATGTAATAATGAAACACACGATTCTGTATCATGCATATGATATCGCCGCCATAACACCAATATACATACTTCATCATCGAAGATCCATCAAAGATGTGTGTACACTTTCTTTTTGACGTCAATATATTCAATTTCCTGTCAATATGCTAAATTACGCAGGTGTGGTGACAGAGTGGTCAAAGATCAGCTTCGTACAAACTTAGCAAGGATCAGTTTAAGTGAGAATAATTAACCGTGAAATTACATTTAATGTGCGAGGACTTTGTGCTAAGGGGCCGTTCATAGTTTCATTGCTTTGGTGGCGTGGGGTGGGGGAGGGGGAAAGAGGGGGACATCAATTTTGTACTAGTTGGGTCGATATTGATATTTTGTAGAGGACATGCAGGGATGTATTATTTACTTAGTACATCAATTCTAGGGGTGGTGTGTTAAGGTGATGGTCATTTACTTAGTACATCAATTCTAGGGGCGGTGTGTTAAGGGGATGGTCATTTACTTAGTACATCAATTCTAGGGGCGGTGTGTTAAGGGGATGGTCATTTACTTAGTACATCAATTCTAGGGGCGGTGTGTTAAGGGGATGGTCATTTACTTAGTACATCAATTCTAGGGGCGGTGTGTTAAGGGGATGGCCATTTACTTAGTACATCAATTCTAGGGACGGTGTGTTAAGGGGATGGTCATTTACTTAGTACATCAATTCTAGGGACGGTGTGTTAAGGGGATGGTCATTTACTTAGTACATCAATTCTAGGGACGGTGTGTTAAGGGGATGGTCATTTACTTAGTACATCAATTCTAGGGGCGGTGTGTTAAGGGGATGGTCATTTACTGAGTACATCAATTCTAGGGACGGTGTGTTAAGGGGGTGGTCATTCACAACATACATACTTCTCAATAAAAGTCGACATCGCCACACACCCACACCCACCAGTCACTCACCCTTAAGCCGGGGTAGCTCGTTCAATTCTTTCAATGTTGCTTTGATTTGCCTTTCTTTCTTTATTCAAAACAGCAGTGTGTTGGCAGGATGCACATTTAAAAACTATGACTCAAATCTGATGTAAATGTTTACACGATCCGGAAAGAAACAGAGATACCGTATTTGCTTTTAGAAATTATCAATGACTGGAGCAGCTACAGTATCTCAAAGCTGCAATGTATGAAATTGTAAGATGTCCTTAAATTTCAGGATTGTTTAGGTGTCCTTTTAAACATTTCAACATATTCATTTGGCTAAAATGAAGACAGATGAAAAACGTTTTGTGTGAACTCTTTTTAGAGCAAATTGATATGAAAGCTCAACACTGGCATTGACGTATCAGTGGAACATCTGTGGATGATACTATTTCCCTGAGTTCATGTGATATTGTAAATGTTCCTGGTAAGGAGGAACACAATACAGGCTACATGTCATGTTGACAGAAAGACGTTAGTCAGATCACAACACATGAATCGCCAGACCTCTCGGACACATGTGTGTTGTGGAGATGTGTTTTACTAACTTACAGCTGTGCTGTCTAATATAAGTATCTGTTGGTCTTGTAATTATTGATAAATAGAAGGTGTTTTTATGTGAACTATGACGTATCTGCCATTAAGCGACGTGAAGAACGCGATATGTTCACGATTTTATAACGACACATAAAATATTATACTAACCAAAAATGAAACGCGAAACGGATAAAAAAACGTATTCGACATGATTTTCGATTTTTGAGTTTAGTTTTGAGAGACGTAGAGTTGTCGAAACAAAATGCCATTTCCGATGAGATGGAAATTCCCTTCAAAATTGTTCAGAGAGAACAATATGCAAAATTGACCGAACTCAGCTACATGCTAACCATGTCTCCCAAACACATCCATGAACTGCACGTGAAAGATGCTTGCATTTAGCAATAGAAGCACCGGGTGTTCAATCGATTGGCAATTGTTGTTGAGGCAAACTCTGAAAATGTTAGGAAGCAGAGAGGAACAACGCTATAGGTAGATATTAGCTGATGAGTCACGTTCTGCAGTAGCCAGAGTGTTGGACGTGGCCCAGCACCATAACAAGACTGTGGAACCGGTATTAAAATCCAGGAACAACACGTGACCGACACAGATCAGGGAGACCACGAGTTACCACCAGGGGGCAGGACCGGTACATCAGGTTACGTCATCTACGAGACAGAACCACAACTGCATTCCTCTACGGCATCCAGCATACCGGGTATGTGTAGGATATCGGCCCAAACAGTTAGGAACTAATATCGAGAAGCAGGACTTCGGGCAAGTCGTCCCGTTCGTGGGGTCGTTTTAACTGCACAGTACCGTCAAAGCCGACGTCCGTTGTGTCAAGCAGCAACTTCGTTGCAAATGTTGTGGTTTATCGACGAGTTACGTTGTATAGTTCAGACGGCAGAATCCGCGTTTACCGATTTCAGTGACAGCGTTGTCCGTCATGCTGTATTCTGGAAATTGATGTATATGTTGCGCTATGATGTGGGCTGCCATCTCGCACACTGGCAGAACTGGCCTTCACATGCAGGCTAACAACATACAGGATCTGCCCTGGCCCTCAAGATCTCCCGATTTAAATCCAGTTGAACATTTTTGGGACGAGTTGTACAGACGAATAGGTGAACATATTCTACAACAGCAGGCACAAGCACAACGTGTCATTCAGACCCTTGTTGGTTCCATGGGAAGGAGATGCCAGTCTGTCCTACATGCCAGTCTGGTGGCCATACGAGATACTGACCGCCTTGATGACCTTGACCTGGCAGACCTATGGGATTTGTCATATTTTCACCCTTGTATTGTCACCTTGATCATTGTATGATTTTTGTTGTAAAATTTGTTCCCTGTGCCATGTTTCTGTTTCAAGTTAAATGTTTCTAATTATTGTAACCAAAATATTTGCGTTTCTTTTTTGGAGGAGTACATATTTAGTACATGCTTCTAATTTTGTTTAACTAAATTAATTAATCCAACAAAATGAGAATTAAGATTCACTTCTTTGTTCAGGCACACCGACCAGACATAGTTCGGCATTTGAAGATGCAATTATATAAACACATATATCTGTAACAGTTGCTGTCTTTTATTCATTGGTTGAATAGGACCAGCGCCTATAATAATATTCATCAAACGATTCTTTTGACCTCTGTTTAAACGTTGGAACGTTGTATTGACGCATAAAAATACAGAAAAAATCACACACAGGAAATTAGCGTGAGGAAGGGAAGTGAGCGATTATCTAACTATTTGCACTGTCAACAAGCTTAAATGTAGCTTACGGCCGCTGCCAGACTAGTGTATTAAAGTCTCTAGCACATCAAAGGTGGTCGTGAACGCTGCCAAGGCGTAAGTCCAGGATTCTAAACAGACATAAACTCGCACGATGCGAGGTGTGGACACACCACACAGTTGCAATCCACCAGTGCCAGTGACAAAATGACTCGGCGATCAGCTGATCGGTGCGAGTTTTCTCCTGGATGTTAGTCATCCGCTGCCCAGGCTTCCTGACCAACTCCGTGTGAAGAAATGCATATTTTTACATTGTCATTTATTGTGCTTATTGAGCCAAATCAGCTAGTCTGACCACCCGATCCCGTTAGCTGCCTCTTGTGACAAGCATAGGTTACTATGACGTGTCAGCCAAGTCAGCTAGTCTGACCACCCGATCCCGTTAGCTGCCTCTTGTGACAAGCATGGGTTACTATGACGTGTTAGCCAAGTCAGCTAGTCTGACCATCCCATCCCGTTAGTTGCCTCTTGTGACAAGCATGGGTTACTATGACGTGTCAGCCAAGTCAGCTAGTCTGACCACCCGATCCTGTTAGTTGCCTCTTGTGACAAGCATGGGCTATTGAAAAGCAAGTTTAACCCTGATCTTTACGGGTGTCAGTACAGTGAAAATAACACTTTTCTCGAAACTTTGAAACCTAAGTCTTTGACACGTTAGTGTATACTTATTTGTACCGTGTATATCTGAAACAACAAACCAACCAACCAACCAACCAACCAAATCTTTCCTATCACGACACAGAGGAATAATCAACAGGAAATATAATCTGTAATATCGAAAGAAGGATGCTAGTGGTATCACAACACACAGATCTTGAACACCAGTCGGCTCTGACACTGCGTGACACGGATGATTCAATAGTACCCGCAGGTCTTTAAGGTGTTCAAATTAATGATAACATACCGATGATGCAGCTCAGTCACTGATATGATGTGGCTCGTCTTTTAATCTGGTTTCCTGAGAAGTATACACATGTGTGCCCCTCTCCTGGGTCTACTTCCTGATCTTCTTGGTATGTTTCACATAATTATTCCTTCTTGTCAGTTTCAGTCAACATGGCCGCCTCTGTGATGATGTGTCTGGCATGCTTGGTGATTGCTGCCGAAGGTAATTATTTCCTTTTTGTATAATGGTAATGTAGTCTCTTTTCGTTTGGACAAAGAGCCACAGTAATGTAAGCTTATTTAAGAATTTACTGTTATCTCACTGATACGTTGGGCGTTGAAGATCCGGGTTAAAATTGGTCTTCAGCAAACCATGCTTGTCTTAATGGGCAACTATATGGATCGGATGGTCAGATTCGCTAAACTGTTTGACACAAACATGTCTCCGGATCCCATTTATATAGATCGGTGCTCATGCTGTTGACCACTGGATTTTCTGGACCAGACTCGACTTTCTGTAGACCGCCACCATATAACTTGAATAATTGGTGAGACGTCAAACAAAACAAGCAAGCAAAGCATTTGGTAGTAGCCTTAGTATCATGAACAACACGTACAAGTTATGTGAATGATGTGACTGAAATGCATGCCTTGCTTTTAAACATATAAGTCATGTCTAGTTAACATAACATTGGTAGAATGCTATAAGACAATTTTTTCAAGACAATCCAATCGCCATCATGGCTGTACGGGAGCCTTAAGTGAGTGAGTGAGTTTTACGCCGCACTCAGCAATATTCCAGCTATATAAATAATCGAGCCAGTACCAGACAATCAAGTGATCAGCAGCATGAGCATCGATCTACGCAATTGGGAACCGCCCTGACCACCCGATTCCGTTAGTCGCCTCTTACGACAAGCATGGGTTACTGAAGATCAGTTATTCTCATCCGGACCTTCACGGCTCCCTTAAGTAGTCTTCACATCGGTGTTTGTCTGATCAGTCTTGCCTCCGACGCCACACCAATGCCTATCCATCGCCAACGTTGTCATGAGTCCACACAGGCTGGACGGTTATTTCAACGTCGCTGATGGTGAACCGACGACGACGACAACATTAACAGTACACGTGTGCATTGTTAACGTCTGGTTGGCATTATGACAATTTGGCATGTTCACATATTCTGACTTAACTTTTGGAAAATCGTTCGTAACTTTACGACATGTCGTAACTCAATAGTTTAACATAGGCTTCCGAATGTTGTAGTGTTTCGACCGCTTTGTGGGTCGGGGCCCTGGCGCGTAACACCATTTGCTTGATAAACGCCTGCATTTGATTTGCTGTAGCAGTTTATGTCACAGTACTCAATCTGGTTTAAGTCAATCGATCATAAACTTTCGTCGTTGCTCTCAAGTAGTACCATCATCAACATTCAGGGTCTTGAGTGAGTGAGTGAGTGAGTTTAGTTTTACGCCAGCAATATTCCAGCTATATGGCGGCGGTGTGTAAATATTCCAGTCTGGACCAGACAATCCAGTGATCAACAGCATGAGCATCGATCTGCGCAATTGGGAAACGATGACATGTGTCAACCTGGTCAGCGAGCCTGACCACCCGATTCCGTTAGTCGCCTCTTACGACAAGAATGGGTTAAGATCAATATTATAATCCGGACCTACACGGGAGACAAGCATGGGTTACTGAAGATCAATATTCTAACACGGATCTTCACGGGAGACAAGCATGGGTTGCTGAAGATCAATATTCTAACACGGATCTTCACGGGAGACAAGCATGGCTTACTGAAGATCAATATTCTGACCCGGATCTTCACGGGAAGCAAGCATGGGTTACTGACGATCAATATTCTAACCCGGACCTTCACGGGAGACAAGCATGGGTTACTGAAGATCAATATTCTAACACGGATCTTCACGGGAGACAAGAATGGGTTACTGAAGATCAATATTCTAACACGGATCTTCACGGGAGACAAGCATGGCTTACTGAAGATCAATATTCTAACCCGGATCTTCACGGGAAGCAAGCATGGGTTACTGACGATCAATATTCTAACCCGGACCTTCACGGGAGACAAGCATGGCTTACTGAAGATGAATATTCTTACCCGGACCCTCACGGGAGACAAGCATGGCTTACTGAAGATCAATATTCTGACACGGATCTTCACTGGAGACAAGCATGGGTTACTGAAGATCAATATTCTAACACGGACCTTCACGGGAGACAAGCATGGGTTACTGAAGATCAATATTCTAACACGGACCTTCACGGGAGACAAGCATGGCTTACTGAATATCAATATTCTAACCCGGACCTTCACGGGAGACAAGCAATTTAATGTTACGAAAGCGTACTAGTTTTAAATTTGTATCTGTGATACTCTAGTATTTTACTGCCCTTCGATGACAGGTTTTTACGTTCTAATTTATTGATTTGAATATTGATATATATTGTTCTCGTCACAATATGGCTGCAATATTGCCGATGTGACGCTAAATATTAACTCACTCACTCACTAAATGGATATCTGTGATACTAGTAGTTTTACCGTCCTTCGTCAACATGCCTTTTAATTTCTAATTTCATTTATCTATAATATAAATATGAATTGTTTTCGTCACGATATGGCTGAAATATTGTCGATGGGACGATAAATATAAACTCACTCACTCACTCAAGAACTACTCTTGTAAACCTACTGAAAGATGAGATATGAATACGGTTATCATGGTGAAAATTCACTCTTGTGGGGCTGTAGCAATCATGTATTAATTGTTCTTTCGAAATTGTTGGGCCGGGGATATTGATCACTGAAGTAGAAAAGTGTATAAGGATAGGATTAACTCTACTTGTAACTTATTCTGAAGAGTTTAAATTGTCGATTTTTGTTAAACGCTACACTCACTACCCAAGTCTGTCAAATAATATATGTAGTATAACCTTTCAGCCGTTCCATGCAATCACACCCATCATTGTTCAGACTGTGACAGAGAGACGGGGCATTGCCTCACTAAGTGTGACACTGGGTATTATGATCGACAATGTAAGTCTGCCTGCAGCAGGAACTGTAGGAATAACACATGCGTGCTCTCAAGTCATGGAAACGATAACTGCACACACGGGTGCATCCCAGGATACCAGGGTACTAGCTGCAACATACCATGTGACAGTCCAGGAGGTAACTGTACAGCATGTCCAGGTGGTTGTGATGGAGGATATTGTCAGCTGGGGTTATTCTGTGTGTCCGGATGTGTAGACTCCTACTACGGAACTGGCTGTAAGAACTGTTTAAGTGGATGTACACCATGTAACAGGTCGACAGGAACATGTGATGATAAATCTGGTATGTATAATATTAGCAGCACCATCCTTACAGGCTACAAGCTTAGATCTGTCGATCAGAACTTGAAGATTTTACTATCGGTAAATGTGCTTAATATGATGGTGTGCACGAAATATGGTGACAAATCTAATCTAAGGAATGTGTATACACGGGAATTTGTAAGTGAACATACCATCACAAAAGATTATTGTCCTCAGTCAGGAGCTTTATTCACCATACATTTCTCGTATACCATGTTTGTGACCACCGTATGCCATCCTTGGTGAGGGATTTAGATTTAATTCCGTAGTTATCTCGTTATTTCTCAACTGCAAGTGAACCAAAAACTTGATGTAGTATTGCCCTGTAACACCCCAAATTAATTCATGTTCCTGCAGAAAGGAGGAAACAAAATACATCGTTTTATCGAGTGGAATCGATTTATGTAAGTGGAACTATGCACTTTATCATTGCCAAATTTGGACCTGTATATGATTTGTTAAAACTGTTCAATGAACAGGTCTACATTGCTACACCTTTGGGTAATCGAAACACAGGAGGAACCAGCTTTTTGTACAATACGGTAGGAACAACATGGAATTAAAAATATTCACTACAATATTGGTCGGTAGAGAATAGCCAACACACAGGAGACGTCGCCTTTCTTGTCTGCATAGATTATGTCTCACATGCCTTGAACCAAACCAATTTGGACGAAAAGATCATTCCTAAATTAATATAATGTGAAAAAGGTCGCATTTACAAACTTTTCTAGTGCTATTTCACGAGTATGTTTAAGTAATCTCTATTTCTAAAGAAAATAATATTAGATTTAGCTATACTAGCTTTTTCGCGCCGTTTATGACAATAAATATATAGGGCAGCAACACCTCTGTGTGTCAACATACTCATCGATTAAAGATTAAAAACAAGTCATCAGCAGACAACAGTGATAACATTTCATCATCATTTTCTGCAATAAAACAAAAACAAACAGGTGACAAATTAGTTCATAACAAGGATAAATAAAACTGGACAGAGCATATAGCCTTGGCGCACTCCAAATTATGCATTGCAAAAAAACGTGATTTGCAATTTCCTGCTCTAACAGAAGCTGTATCCTTACTACACGTACTCCGTCACATACAATTCATACTCTGGAAACTCAGAACTCGAGTTTTATTTTCTCTGAGAAATACATCAAGGTTTATCTAATTCACCTTGTTCTTTTTCAGGTCACCCTGTTAGATTGGGACTGTATTTGGGACTGTCCGCAGCTGTAGTTCTCAGTTTAACGATCAACCTGATTGTATGCTGCAAGTACTGTCAACGCTCGAGGAAGAACAGGTGAGTTAATGAGCCATTGTCTGACATAGAGTCAGGGTCGCCGAGAACACTCAGTGTTTACTTGTTTCTTGTTCAACGTCGCACTCAGCAATATTCGACCTATATGGTCGCGAGCTCTCAGCAATCAAGTCTGAGCTAGACAATCCACTTGTGGCTGTGTGTCCTGTTAATCTGTGACTGTGTCCAGCCACCTGTGTGTCCTAATCTGTGGTTAATCTGTGTGTCCTGTTAATCTGTGGCTGTGTGTCCTGTTAATCTGTGACTGTGTCCCCAGTTAATCTGTGGCTGTGTGTCCTGTTAATCTGTGGCTGTGTCTCCTGTTAATCTGTGACTGTGTCCCCAGTTAATCTGTGACTGTGTCTCCTGTTAATCTGTGACTGTGTGTCCTGTTAGTTAATCTGTGTGTGTGTGCCCTGTTAATCTGTGACTGTGTCTCCAGTTAATCTGTGACTGTGTCCCCAGTTAATCTGTGGCTGTGTGCCCTGTTAATCTGTGACTGTGTGTCCTGTTAATCTGTGACTGTGTCTCCTGTTAATCTGTGGCTGTGTGTCCTGTTAATCTGTGGCTGTGTCCCCAGTTAATCTGTGGCTGTGTGTCCTGTTAATCTGTGACTGTGTCTCCAGTTAATCTGTGGCTGTGTGTCCTGTTAATCTGTGGCTGTGTGTCCTGTTAATCTGTGGCTGTGTCCCCTGTTAATTTGTGACTGTGTGTGTTAATCTCTGTGTGTCCAGTTAATCTGTGGCTGTGTGTCCTGTTAATCTGTGACTGTGTGTCCAGTTAATCTGTATCTGTGTGTCCCCAGTTAATCTGTGACTGTGTCTCCTGTTAATCTGTGACTGTGTCTCCTGTAATAACTGTTACACTGTCTCCTTTAAAAATCTGTGACTGTGTGTCCAGTTAATCTGTGACTGTGTTCCCAGTTGTGTGAGTGTGTCTCCTGTTAATCTGTGACTGTGTCCCCAGTTAATCTGTGACTGTGGTCCCAGTTAATCTGTATCTGTGTCACCAGTTAATCTGTTGAGTGTGTCCCCAGATAATCTGTGTCTGTGTGTCCTGTTAGTTCTGTGATTGTGTCACCAGTTAATCTGTGACTGTGTCTCCTGTTAATCTGTGACTGTGTCTCCTGTTAATCTGTGACTGTGTCTCCTGTTAATCTGTGACTGGTATTTGTTGTCCTGAAACTTACAAAAGTTCTATTGAAGATTGTTTCCTGCGATACAGAGGATGTAGGGATAAAAGGCAGTTATTCTCGCCCATTTCGAGTTCGAGTCCCGGAGCATTCCTCTCACGTGAACTTTGATACTTAAAACTGAACCTTTGACTTTTCTCGTAAACACAAACCACATTCATGAAACACGTTGTGCACATGCATTACCTGCACCCAGGCCCTGTAAAAGCACAAGGAATTGTGGAACTCAATCAATTTGAGAAAATGCCAAACATGACACAAGACGAAAGGAATCAGGTTATCGGTATGGTCAGCCAAGGTGCTTCAGATGTGATGATTGCCAGGCACTTTAATGTGCATCCATCCACTGTAAGTCGACTCAGACAACGTTTTCGGGCTACCGTAAGTGTTGCTGATCGTCCGCGACCTGGTGCACCACCTGTGATAACAGCTCGACAAAACGCAATATCCGAGTTTCACACTTGCGAAATCGGTTCCAGACAGCTGATGATTAGGCAAGGAGGACAATTGGGACAAGTCAACGTCATTTCAGCGCCCAAAAGGTGCAAGGACGCCTTGCTGCCTTCAACATCCGGTGTCGTCACCCGTACCATGGTCCAACCTTATTGCATCGCCACAGACTTGCCAGACAGCGATGGGCAGCAAATGAGGCCAATCTTGGCAACAGGACATGGCCAGATGTCATTTTTTCAGATGAATCCAGGTTTAACTTATCCTTTGCAGATGGACGTCAACAGATTTATCGACGTAAAGGAGAAAGACTTGCGCCAAACTGTGTCCTTGAACATGATCGTTTTGGAGGGGGTGGTGTCATGATCAGACCACAGACCATCAGGGGCTGCAGACCATCCACTAGCTGTTCCTGAGAAATGTGTGTCTTCCAATGCACCAAAGACTGCGAGCATGTCTTGCAGCGCACGGTGGACACACACGATATTGACTGCAAGTGACCCCTCCTTTGTGTGAAGTCGTTGTTGCGTCACTGATGTTGTTGTTGACTGGACATTTTCAGATGCAATTATTCACAGATGTTCACTTAAAACATATCTGCCAGTTAGGTTTATATATTTTGAAATTGAGGAAAGATAGTATGAATGTCAAATTGCATTTTTTATGGCTTTCAGTATATGTAATGCATATCTTTGTTTAGCTTATAAATGTCCGTGGCATTTGTCTTTCAGTGACTTTGGCACCTGTCCACAACCGATCAGTCATTCCTCAGCTTCCAAATCAGCAATACTCGCTAGCATGACCTGGTTTTTGACCCGTGAAGATCCGGGTTAGAATTAATCTTCAGTAACCCTTGCTTTTTGTAAGAGGCGACTAAAGGGGTCGGGTGGTCAGGCTCGCTGGTTTGGTTGACACATGTCATCGTATCCCAATTGCGCAGATCGGTGCTCATGCTGTTGATCACTGGATTGTCTGGTCCAGACACGATTATTTACAGACCGCCGCCATATAGCTGGAATATTGCTAAGTGCGGCGTAAAACTCACTCACTCACTCACTTTGATGACATAAGATTACATTGTTCTTACTTGACAGTGTCCCCCAGACAAAGGAGACGTGCAACAACGTTGCCGAGGTTGACGATGCCGCTGCTGCCGAGCTGGAATGGTACACGGAAATACCACTAACAGACATGGCCCAGGCCAGGGAGTCCACTGGTGGGAACAGCGGCGGGGGAAGTGGAGCCGCTGCTTTTGTGGATGACGTTTACGACGTTGCTGTTGAACGCAAACCGGGATTCCCTGTTGTTGTTGGCAGTATATATTCCAAGTTGTCACATGATCAGTAATTGGGGTCTCCATGCTAAACTTCACGGTATACTGCAGCATGGTATCTCGGTGTGCTCCCACTATAATATCACCTCAAGTCCAGGCATTTGCATCCACAACTTTACATGTCTGCCACTATGCAACCGCAACATTAAACTCAATTTCACTTCAGTTCGATCAGACATTTCATATAACATGGGAGTGGTGAAGTCTAGTGGTCAAAGCATTTGTTCGTCCCGTCAGAGGCCCTGGTTCGATTCCCAACATGGTTACAAAAGCGACATAAACCTAAACTCACTCACTCTAACCCTCACACTCACTCACATATAACATATGGTATTATTTGATATCTCGTGTCGTAATATTGTCCACAAAATCAGCATGCATGCAACTTCAGCATTCTGTTTGTCCACTTGCTATATGCATTTTGTTGTTGCTGTTGGTTTTTTTGGTTTTTTATTGTTATTTTTTTTGTTATTTTATTTTGTTGTTTTATTATTATTATTTTATTTGTTTATTTTTTTTAAAAAAAAATATTTTTCGTAGGGGTGGATGTTTGCATGTTGTTGTTGTTTGGGTGTGGGGGTGTTTGGGGTTTTCTGGTACTTTGATTAATTTTTCTTTTCTTTTTTGGGGGGTCTTGTTTTTATTTTGTCCGCTGTTGTTTTTGTTTATCTATTTGGTTTGGTTGTTTTTGGTTTTTTTGTTTTTTATTTTTTGTTTGTTTTTATTTGTTTTGTTTAGTTATTTTGGTGTAGTTGTTTGTTTGGGTTTGTTTTTTCTTGGGGAGGGGTTTGGTTTGTTTGTTTTCTTTATTTTGTTTAGTTTTGTTTTTTCTGGGGTTCTTTTCTTGTTTTTTCTGTGGGGCTTTGAATGTGTAAATTTAGATTGATATAGCAACAAGATAGTTTGACAGGTGTGGTCCTGTATTTAGGACAAGCCACGAAACCGTTAGATTGTTGACCAAGGTTTCAGTAACTGCTAAAGGCCAAGGTGTCAGTAACTACTTTAGCACGTGCGGCTTCATTACTGCGTGAATCACTTTCAGGTAACAGAATTGTCAAGTTTTGTCAATTTTTTTAAAAAGTAATCTCAAATGTGAACTAGGTTTTGATTCCCACGAAAATATGCTGTCAAATTTGTGAATGAAAACTCATAACCAGTGAATAAAGTCTTGTGTTATGGCCACACCGTGTTTGCTGCAATGTTTTACTGTTATACAATGGGGCGTGGGGTAGCCTAATGATTAAAACGCGTCCTCTCGTCACGATGAAGACCCGGGTTCGATTCCACTCATGGGTCAAATGTGTGAAGCCCATTTGTGGTTCCCCCGCCGTGATATTGATCGAATATTAGTAAAAGCGCCGTATAACCATACTCACTCACTCACTCACTGTTTTAAAGCGTTCGCTCGTCATGTAGGCAGTCAGGGTTCGATTTCCCATATGCGTACAATGTTTGAAGCCCATTTCTGGAATCCCGCGCCGTGATTTTGCTGGAACATTACTAAAAGAGGCGTAAAACCACACTCACTCCATTTGTGAGTTGGGACACAGGCATTACCTGCTATTCAGCATTATGTAAAGATGAGGAGATAAAATGTAAACATTATAATGCAAATCTGACGGATGGCTACATTCTTTACTGTACCTTGTATTGAATTGATTCATGCTCATGTCAGTCACTGGATTGTCTGGTCCAGAATCAATGATATACAGACAGTCGCCATATGGCTGGAATATCGGTTCGTGCGGCGTAAAACTAAACTCACACACTCGCTATAATATAGCTGGAATATAGCTGCGTGCGACGGCGTAAAACTAAACTCACACACTCGCTATAATATAGCTGGAATATAGCTGCGTGCGGCGTAAAACTAAACTCACACACTCGCTATAATATAGCTGGAATATAGCTACGTGTGGCGTAAAACTAAACTCACTCACTCCCTATAATATAGCTGGAATATAGCTGCGTGCGGCGTAAAACTAAACTCACACACTCGCTATAACATAGCTGGAATATAGCTGCGTGCGGCATAAAGCTAAACTCACTCACTCGCTAAAATATAGCAGGAATATAGCAACGTGCGGCGTAAAGCTAAACTCACTCACTCGCTAAAATATAGCAGGAATATAGCTGCGTGCGGCGTAAAACTAAACTCACTCACTCGCTATAATATAGCTGGAATATAGCTGCGTGCGGCGTAAAACTAAACTCACACACTCGCTATAACATAACTGTAATATAGCTGCGTGCGGCGTAAAACTAAACTCACACACTCGCTATAATATAGCTGGAATATAGCTGCGTGCCGTGTAAAACTAAACTCACACACTCGCTATAATATATCTGGAATATAGCTGGGTGCGACGGCGTAAAACTAAACTCACACACTCGCTATAGTATAACTGTAATATAGCTGCATGCGGCGTAAAACTAAACTCACACACTCGCTATAATATAACTGTAATATAGCTGCGTGCAACGGCGTAAAACTAAACTCATACACTCGCTAAAATATAGCTGGAATATAGCTGCGTGCAACGGCGTAAAACTAAACTCACACACTCGCTATAATATAACTGTAATATAGCTGCGTGCGGCGTGAAACTAAACTCACTCACCCGCTATAATATAGCTGGAATATAGCTGCGTGCGGCGTAAAACTAAACTCACACACTCGCTATAATATAACTGTAATATAGCTGTGCGCGGCGTGAAACTAAACTCACACACTCGCTATAATATAACTGGAATATAGCTGCGTGCGGCGTGAAACTGAACTCAAACTCTCGCTATAATATAGCTGGAATATAGCTGCGTGCGGCGTAAAACTAAACTCACCCCCCCCGCTATAATATAGCTGGAATATAGCTGCATGCGGCGTAAAACTAAACTCACTCACTCGCTATAATATAGCTGGAATATAGCTGGGTGCGGCGTAAAACTAAACTCACTCACTCGCTATAATATAGCTGGAATATAGCTGCGTGTGGCGTAAAACTAAACTCACACACTCGCTATAATATAGCTGGAATATAGCTGGGTGCGATGTAAAACTAAACTCACTCACTCGCTAAAATATAGCAGGAATATAGCTGCGTGCGGCGTAAAACTAAACTCACACACTCGCTATAATATAGCTGGAATATAGCTGGGTGCGGCGTAAAACTAAACTCACTCACTCCTATAATATAGCTGGAATATAGCTGCGTGCGGCGTAAAACTAAACTCACTCACTCGGTATAATATAGCTGGAATATAGCTGGGTGCGGTGTAAAACTAAACTCACTCACTCGCTATAATATACCTGGAATATAGCTGCGTGCGGTGTAAAACTAAACTCACTCACTCGGTATAATATAGCTGGAATATAGCTGGGTGCGGCGTAAAACTAAACTCACTCACTCGCTATAATATAGATGGAATGTAGCTGCATGCGGCGTAAAACTAAACTCACACACTCGGTATAATATAACTGTAATATAGCTGCGTGCGGCGTAAAACTAAACTCAATCACTCGCTATAATATAGCTGGAATATAGCTACGTGCGGCGTTAAACTAAACTCACACACTCGCTATAACATAACAGGAATATAGCTGCGTGCGGCGTAAAACTAAACTCACACTCTCGCTATAATATAGCTGGAATATAGCTGCGTGTGGCGTAAAACAATAAACAATCAAAAGCAACATACTTGCATTACATACATAGTTCATTTAGACAGAAATATAACTGTTTCTTTCACGTGTCTTTTGTGGAATGCACCGGGAAAAAGACCAGCTTTATATCAGCCCGTCCTGTTCACACTGCTCTCATGACGGACACATGTCATCGTATCCAAATTGGGGGGATCGATGCTCATGCTGTTGATCACTGGATTGTCTTGTCCAGAATTGATTCTACTCTCCATATAGCTGGGTGCGACAACAAACAAGCAAAAAATCATGTTATAATATGTATTGTCCCTTCCCGATAAGTGGGACACTGATACTGTCAAAACAATTATTATAAATAGAATGACAATGAAAGGAGTCCTCTAGTTGTTTAAAAACACACACTCACCGCACCTCTTGTTGATTTCCATCCTTCCTGGTGGTAGAGAAACTCATGCTGTTAACAGATTACATCTATCTCTGATCACGAAAGCACTGCCCGTTGTTTATATTATACATTGATAACTAAACCCATTTGTTTCTAGGTTTTCATGCGTGCATCCTCGATAATCTCCAGGGTATACGTTACGATCACTCTCCACTATACCCTGGATGCATCCACGGCTTGGCCCGATGATTTTATTACAAGGGTATAGTGGAGAGTGATCAAGGATGACATGCGTGCAGCAGAGTTATAAACCTCCAGTGACGTCACTCTATTATTCTAGCAAGGCAGTATTTCTAGTCATATCCCGATGGCCCGTCGATTAGGGGGCATTATTTAAATATTGCCTCTCTGCCCCGGCATATTACTTCAATATTACTTGTTTTGAAGATTGATATAACTTTGTCTTGCTAGCACTGAATGCGATCGTAAAACATCACATTATTGAAAACTTCCAACATATAGTGCCGATATCTGGTTTCGAACCTGCAACCTTTTGTCGGTTTTATCCACTAGGCTACGAAGAATCGCTGTGTCAGCATGAACCGTGTGTTTCTCACAAGACGTGTAGTGCGGCCAGCGCACGTGCATGACACGGGTAGCGCGTGCAGAGCACGTGCATTTCGCGTGCAAGGCAAGGTGTCGGCTGCCAGTCTCATCCCAGTTGATTTCAACAGTAAATACCAAATATTGAAATTATATCTTTGGTCGGGTTATATCCTACACATAGACCCTTCATCTAAGTCTAATCACAACGCAGCAGCTGGAGTGAGTGAGTGAGTTTGGTTTTACGCCGCTTTTAGCATTATTCCAGCAATATCACAGCGGGGGGACACCAGAAATGGGCTTCACACATTGTACCCATGTGGGGCATCGAACCCAAGTCTTCGGCATGACGAGCCAACGCTTTACCCACTAGGCTACTCTACCGCCTCTCTGGTGCTGGAACTGTCCATGATATGACCTTACAATTATTGAGGATCAGTAAAACTACAGAGTGGCATTGACATCACAACCATGGATGTCTTTTCCATACTTAGAGGTGAGGTGAAATTGGGTT